GACGCCAGGGCCTTCCTCCTCGGCAACAGCTTCAGTATTCACGTCGTGGCATGGTTGTGCCAGCAGCTCCTGCACCGCCGCGGCGCGCTGAACAGGGAGCTCTCGATAGAAGAGGTGCCCCCCGTCCGCGAGTGCCGGGCGACGCGGGGCCAGGCGGGGGCCTTCGTCACGGAGCCAGGGGAGCCGGACACCGCGGAGGCGAGGCAGCTGGTCCTGCACTACCTCAGCCGCGCGGAGAAGGGCGGGTCGGACGTCAGGCTGGACTACGGCGCCCCCTACCGCCCGCGGGGTTGGCCGAGGACGAGCCTGGACCCGTTCGTGTGGAAGTGGCGCGTGGTGGTCAGCATGGCGTGGCCCGGCCGGAGCTCCACCCACATAAACGTGAGAGAGTTGCAGGCGGCCACGTCGGCGGTCAGGTGGCGCGCCCGCAAGGTCGCGCAGCACGGGGGCAGGTTCTTGCACCTCGTCGACAGCCAGGTGGTCGCGGCCATCGTGACGAAGGGCCGCAGCAGCAGCAGGAAGCTCCAGCCCATCCTGAAGCGCTGGATGGCCGTCGTCGTGGCGGCCGACATGTACCCACTGATCGGCTACGTGGTCTCGGAGGACAACCCTGCGGACGAGCCGTCGAGGAGGCTGCTGTGGCGCGGCTCGCGCCCGCAGGGCGAGCCGTCGAGGGCGACTCGTGCCGCGCGCGCGGCCGCTCACCGCAGGCCCGCGCCCGTGAGGCGCCGCGGGACGCGCTGCCAAACTCTCTCTTCCCTGAGGGTGTCGGCGGAGACGCGGCGGCGCTACGGGCGGGCCCTGCGGGCCCTGCTGGCCCACTTCGGAGCCGAGCAGGCGGGGGCGGGCGCCTTGCGCGGCGACCCCGAGGACGCCGACGCCCTCGTCGCGGAGTACCTCGAGGGCCTGTGGGCCTCTGGTGCGGGCATCGCGGCCGCCAACAACACGCTGGCGGGGGTGTGCTTCGCGGCTCCTCGTCTGAGGCGACATCTTGACCTGAGCTGGTCTCTCCTCAAGGCATGGAGGCATCATGAGCCAGCGTCCAGGGCGCTGCCGCTCACGACCGAGGCCGTCGCGGCCATGGCGGGGTTCGCGTGCGCTGCAGGCGCTTTCGACGTGGCCGCCCTCCTTCTCGTCGCCTTCGAGGGCATGCTCCGAGGCGCGGAGGTGTTTGCCCTGACGGTGGGCGACATCGTCGACCGCGGCGAGCTGTTCGTGGTCCGGATCAGCTCGTCCAAGACCACGGCTGGCAAGGACTGCGCGGAGGCAGTCGTCATCCGCAGCCGGATGGCCGTGGCGCTCCTGCGGATTGCGGTCCGCGGCCTTGGTGCAGGCGCGCGGCTCTCGTGGAGGACGCCGTCCCAGCTGCGTGGTGCCCTCCGCGCCTTGGCGAGGGGCCTGGGCCTGGCGGGGCCCGTCGCGCGGCACAGCCCCCGGCGTGGCGGGGCGAGCGCCTTCTTCGTCAGGAGCGGCTCCATGGAGGCGACCCTCGTGGCGGGTCGGTGGGCCTCCTCCGCCACCGCGCGCCTGTACATCGAGGGCGCGGTGGCCGACTCAGTGCGCGCCCAGCCCGGGAGCGAGGCAGCCCGCGCCGTTGCGCGAGGACTGCGGCTCCTGCAGCTGGCCACCGTAAAAGGCCACTGCTCGCGCCCAACAGTGCTTGCCGAAAATCGGGCGTTTGTCTTCGCGGCGGCGAAGGCAACCGCCCTCCCGCCGTGGGGCCGCGTGGCCCCCCCCTCTCTCTCGGGTCCTGGTTTCTTGGGGTCCCAGGGCCCGCCCGTTGTGTGGGGCGTTCTCTGTTTGGGGCCCACGCCCGTCTCACCTCCTCCGTGCTTCGTGTCACCTCCTCCCGTCGCCTCCCCCCGTCACCTCCTCCTCGAACGTGCCGACCCTTTCGGGGCCCAACGGCCGTGAGAACGGGACCCAGAGGGGGGATAACACTCTGCGCGGCCTGCCCTTTGGGCGTTGCCGCGCCGCTCCGGCGGCTGCGGAGTGTTGTCCCCCTCCTGGGTGCCGTCCTCACGGTCCTTGGACCCCAGAAAAGGCTGCCGTGCCGTGTGGAGAACAAGGGCTGGAGAAGGGCGTGGAGTGGGGGGGTGTGCAGGGGGGCCAAACCAAGGGGCTGCTGGGGGATGTCTGGCACGTCAAGGGCCGCCCTGTGCGGTGCCTGCCCCGCGTCAGGGCTGTGGCCTGGCGCGGGTAGCGTGTCCAGACCCCCCTGGCAGTCCTGTGGTTTGCCCCCCCGCACACCCCCGAATTAAGGACCGGCATAAATGTGCCATTTTCAGGGGGGGGGTGGGAGTTAAACACGGACGGCCTACGTAGCCTTAAGGCCAGTAGGTGGGGGAGTTAGATAGCGTAGGCCCCCTCCCCAGATTGCTGTATGCGAACGGTGGAGGACCACCTCGCACGCCTTAGGTGGCAAGCGCGCGGTGCGGTAGGCGCCGCGTGCTTGCCGCCTAGGAAATGCGTGGCGTAGGGTACCCTTGCATCCCGGCGCGTACAGTAGCTGGGGGGTTTGAGGGGGGTCTAGCCTACTCTGACCATTGGCGTGTCCGCACGCAAAAAGGTGGGGCAGGGTATGTCTGTATACTGGTCCCCTGTATGCGTATACCCGTCTTCCCCCCTTTGGCCAGGACACGCCGCCCCAACACGTCCGTAGCCTGTTTGGGCTCCCACCCGCGGTCCACCCCTTCCGTGTTGAGGCACGCTTTCTGCTGGTGCCGTAGCCCAGAAGATAGCGTAGGCCCCCTCCCCAGATTGCTGTATGCGAACGGTGGAGGACCACCTCGCACGCCTTAGGTGGCAAGCGCGCGGTGCGGTAGGCGCCGCGCGCTTGCCGCCTAGGAAATGCGTGGCGTAGGGTACCCTTGCATCCCGGCGCGTACAGTAGCTGGGGGTTTTGAGGGGGGTCTAGCCTACTCTGACCATTGGCGTGTCCGCACGCAAAAAGGTGGGGCAGGGTATATATATATATATGTATATGTATATATATATATATATATATATATAAACGCGGAGAGGGCGGGACATCCCTCGGACCGAGTCATGGGAGAGACGAGATTTGTATTAAAATCGAGTAGTTGCACTGGAGGGGGAACGGGGGGAGTGGATTGGGCGGAGCGGGAGAAGGAGGGAACGTCGATGTCCAGGTTGCGGTTGGCACTGGAACCCCCGCCAGCTGATGTACTCGAGGCACAGATCGCAGGGGCTCTCGCTGTACCGTTGCGGGCGGTGGTCTCCGAGAAGTCACCGCGGGGCTCCTCGCGATTCCCTCGAGCCTCTTCCCACCTCGATCTCATCGATTCGATCCGACACAGCTTCTGGCCAACTCGATCTGGCTCGACTCCTGTATTCCGGCGATCCGATGCGGCCCGATGTTTGCTTGCTTCGGGGGCGGCCCAAATTGTGCGGTGACCGCCTTGTGTGCGTGGTGTGTCAGTCGGAAGTCGGGGTGACTGCACGGATTTGGGGCTCGGATCGTTCTCTGGGGACGTCTCCGGTGATTGGGGCCCCGCAGGGTCTCAACACGATGCGATGACGGACCGTGCGGATCCACCGACACCGCCTCAGGAATCAATGTTCGGACATTTCGGCAGGCGGTGGATATGACATAGTCGGGCTCCTGGGGTGATCAAAACTGTCCAGCTGCTCGCGGTAAGTCCCGCCACCGTGCCAGCCAATTATTATGGGTGGCGACCGTTCGAGGGGCCACGGAAAGCCGTGATCTGTGACACCTCGTATTTGCAGGCTTGGGAAAGTTATGCGGATGATGAGGTCGATGACGATGACGAGATGGAGGAGGAGCAGGAGGAGGAGGAGGAGGAGGAGGAGGAGGAGTATGACGAGGAAGGACATGACATGTGCCATCTGTCGTTTTCACGTTTTGAGGAACTCTCATGGAACTCATGTGGTCCATCTTGCAGCTGCATTGGCCTTCTGTGGGGCAGTCGTGGGGCTTTGTTCGGCAACATTGGGGCTCTCTTGGGCCGCCTCTGGGCTTTCTTGGCCGTATGGCGAGTGCTTCGGGGCCGTCTTAGCTTTGTCTTGGGCATTCGAAGGGTCGTGAGTTGACAGAAGGCCGAAAACGTGAGAATGCGGACATCCATCTTAGGATGTTTGAATGCGTTTTGAGCCGTCTTGAGGCTTTCTGACGCCGTCTTGGGGCTCTTTTTGGCCACCGTGAGCCCTTTTTGGCCATCGAAAGCCCTCTGGGGGTTCATCTTGGGCTGTCAACGGGTCTTCTAAGGAAGTCTTTGATCCCATGGGAGCCCCTCTTGGGCGGTCTTGGAACTGTATTGGATGCCGCTTGGGCCATCGTGTTGTCTTTCTGGGCCATTTTGGGTGTCTCTTAGGTGCCTCTTGGGCTGGCTTGAAGCCATCGTGGAGGCTTCCCGATTTCCCGATACGATGCTGATTATTCATGCCCCCTCGTGCCGAAGCCTCCCCGTTTGAGGGCCCGAGCCCGTCAGGGTCGCGCTGCGGAGTGAGCCCCGGCGGCCCTCCGCCGCAGCTGAGAATGCGGCGCCGCCGCGCCGCCCCGCACGCGGCGGGCGCGGCGGTCTATGTTTTGGCTTCTTCGGACCTTGTTGGAGGTCCTCGTGTGGCCCTCTACGAGGCGGCTTGGGCCATCTTGAGGCCATATTCGGCCGCCTTAGGGCCATTTTGAGCCGTCTTCGAGGCATCTTGGACCATCTTGGTGTCTTCGGTTGCTTGCCTGCGCCGTCTTGGAAGCTCGGGACGCGGATACTTTGTTTTGTGCCAGGGACTGTGGCCTCGGAAGTAGGGGCGATGCACGTGCCAGCCTGCGACCAGGGGAGGGTGGGTCCGCTCAGTAGAACACAAACGCCCAACCTGGCAGCCACGCCTCAACGCGCCGGGGGGCACTTTCTTGGATCCACATCCACCGCCTGTCGAGGCCTCCGAAGGCCGATCCCGCAGGCAGTCGTGGTGGACACGTCCCCGCCTCGGATCTTGCCCGCAGCCCCCGTGCCCGCCAGGTAGGCGCCAACGGCCAGCTTGTCTCGGTACGCGGCTTCTGCTCCGGGCACGGCACCTGCGGGAGACGCGGCGGGGCCGCCCCTCGCGGCGCGGTGGGGCGGAGGGTGGGAGCGTTTGTGAGGCGTTCGGGTGTGGCTCCGATGCAGTCACACACGGGACGTTTGGGATAGGCCCTCCGGTTCCCTTCCACCTCCTCCCTCCTCTCTCCTCCTCCCTCTTCCTCGTCCTTCGAGCGACGTGGCTAAGCATCTCGGGTCTCTGGTCAGGTTCGACAGCACGGTCAGCAGAGAGTTGCATGCTGGGCTCTCTGCATGTACAGCTAGTTTCTGGTCCATGGGCAGACATTGGTGCCACCCCCCCACACCATATGCAGAACATGGTGCAATATTCCTATGCAAGGTTGCGGGGGCCGCGGTGATTGCTGTCGATGCCGTCCTGCCCACCCCCAGGCATATCCTCCGCGCCAAGAAGAATATTTCGTGGAGTGCGGTGCTCTTCCGGGGGGCAGCCACAGAGTGGCACAGCGACCATCGCAGATCTATCCCATCTCAGCGTGTTTCCGGTTGTGGCGCGTTGCGCCCCTGGAAGTTAAGATCAGTCGGCGGTGGACAGAACCCCCAACAGTGACACGTCGATTAGTGAATTGTCCGTTTTCGGTTCTCGAGAGGGCGCCGTGGCCGTCATTTTCCAGGCTTGCGCCCGCCAGGTTTGGGCCTCAGGTCGTTTTCACTAAACCACGTTTTACTAAAGGGAGGTTTGTCCATCCCCGAGTTAAGATCAGAGTTCGTCTACTGAGGTGGTACAAGAAGTGGGTTCAGCAACACCGCTATCATGCAGCGGGCTGGGGGGCTCTGTTCTTTGCTAGTCGTGCTGAGCGGGACCGAGTGCTCCAGATAGTAGACTCTGACAGCCATCTCACCAAACGTGTGTCTCCACGGGCACACAGATTCGTGGCAGATGCGGCTAGTTTTCCCCAGCTGAGCGGAAGCTCTGACGAAATTGACGACTCGGACTCCCATTCCCTGGCCTTGATTGATGATCTTGATTTACCAGACTAGTTAAGGCAAGTAGATAGCTGCTGACTAGACGGTGGGTGTTCCTCCGCCTGGGTGGCTTTGTGACGCGGCGGGCTCCATCGTCGACAACTGGAATCGATCAGCAGGAGTCTTTGTTGAAAGAGCGACGCCCGCATGCATGTCAGCGATTCTCCCGTACTGGCGACCGTGACTTGGGGTCCCGTCCAGGCTTTTTGGCACGTCGGTCGTGAGCGTATCACCTATTTGCGGAGGATTTTCGTAGGGTGTGGGTGTTGATTGTGGGCACTGTAGCCGCAACCAGCACAGAATGTGAAGACCTTACGGCCGGTGCCGCCGACCCTGAAGACGACGACGAGGACGATGAGGAGGAAGTGGAGGAGGAGCAGGAGGGAGGAGCAGGAGGAGGAGACGGAGAACGCGATGGAGGAGCAGGAGGGGGAGGAGGAGGATGCGAAAGAGGATGCAGAGGGGGAGCAGGGGCGGGGGGAGGACGGGCGAGGAAGGTGCAGTAGGAGGACGAGGATAATAGGAGTCGGAGGAGCAGGATAAGAATGGGGACGCGGAGGAAGGGGGGGATGACGAGGATGGAATGACGAGGTCGAGGTAAGGTTGCGGAGGGTCGGACGAAGGGCACACGAAGGAGGGGGCGGGAGCATGAGGACGAGGATGGCCAGGAGGATAAGGATCATAAGGATGATGAGGAGGGGACACGATGATGCGCAGGAGGTGAATGAGAAGGAGGGAAAGGGTCAGGAACAGGAGGAAGAGGAGGAGGAACAGGAGGAGGAGAAGGAGGACGTGGAGCAGGAGGAAGAGGATGCGGTCGAACATGCGGAGGAAGATGAGGAGGGGGAGTTGAGGCAGAAGGAGGTCGAGAAGGGCAATGCGCAGGTGGAGGACGAGGAAGACGAGGCGGAGAAAGAGGAGGAGGAGGGGGAGGAGGAGGAGGAGGAGGAGGAGGAGGAGGAGGAGTTGGAGGAGGAGCAGGAGGAGGAGGAGGAGGGTCAGGAGCAGTGGCCGGAGGGGATGCGTGTCGGGGTCTCTTCGGAGCGCTTTCGGGGGCCTTGCCTCTGGGTGCCTCCTTGGGAGAGCTTCTCGAGGCCCATTGGGGCGGTTTGCAGGCCTCATGGGCTCTCAGGAGGCCGTGAAGGCGTCTTGGATAGAGCGTTCGGGCGCCTCGTCGGGCACTCTTGGTCCGTCCTGGGGCTTTTTGTGGTGCCCGGGACCCCCTGGGGATCCCCTTCCTCCCGACGGAAGAGGGATTAAAGGGAGGGGGATCCTGGGGCTTTTTTTGAAACTCGGGACCCCCCCCCGGGAGGGATGCGTATCTGGGTGGCGACCCCCCCCCCAGGACCAGGGTATATCTCCTCCGGGACCCCCCCCCCTTCCCCCCGACGGGGGAGGGACCAAAGGGAGGTGGCTTTCTTCCGATTGAATTACGACGTTACTCAATCTCGCTTTGGCTGGCGCGATTGGGGAAGAGGGCCCAGGAAACGGATGGGAGCGGCGACGGGCCCAGGGAAATAAGGGCCGCAGGGAAAGGAGCCGACAGAGAAGAGAATAGGGCGAACGAATGACGAAGAGCAAGACTCGAACGGACAATCCCCTCACACATGCCGACTGGGTCGGCGGATTTTTTTGCCCGCATGCGTTGAGTCAAGTGCAAATTGCCGTTTCAGTGTCAGCAGGCGGCTTCAATCAAAGCTCACCAACAGCTCAGGGCTCGCTGGGCATCAGTATGAATACAAGTTTCTGGGAATTACGACAGAAAGTTAGTAGTCACCAGGGCTCAGGGAGTGACTGCTATCGGGAGCGACTGACCTGGCCTGCTGTAGTCCAATTTGATTTCGTAGCCCAGGGCGTAGATTAGCATCCTGCAGCGCCACAGCGGCACACCCTGAGCCAGCATGGAGGGAGCGGGATGTATGGATTGGTAGGTCGATGGATGGACGGATGCAAGGAGGCTGAGATTTAGGGAGACTAGAGGGGCCCACGGTGACCCCCAGCCAGTACGACATTCCTCTCGTGCGATGCGTTGGGTCCAGCCCCGAAGACGCACATGGAGGGCTGGGTTCTCAATCTCCCTTGGCTGTCTAGGAGACCGGGAAAGCCGAGTGCCCGCCCATTGAAAAAAAGCGAGGTGTATAGCGAGATGTTGGGGGGGGGGTTCTAGCGATTATCCATTTTAGTTTAGCAGGTTCAGTCGAACGATTGAACCAGGAGTCGAGCCCGATCTGCTACCGCTGAGTCATGCGACAGAAACACAGCGACCTTGCGGCTGAAGAGGGCATCGGCCGCAGCGGGGACATTGCATTAGAGGGACCGAGAATGATCCGAATGAAGCAGCATATGAAGAGGCGGAGGAACAGTGGTTGTAGGACGAGAGGGGAGGAGTAGGAGAAGGAGGAGGAGGAGGAGGAGGAGGAGGAGGAGGATGTGGATGTGGGGGAGGAGGGGGGAGGGGACGGAGGGGATGGACGAGGAGAGGGGGGTGAGGGGAAAAGAGGGAGAGCGGGGGGGAGAAAGCTAGGTGCGCTTGCGCCATATCTGACATCCTACCCCTCCCGCCCATCCCTTTCCATTGCGCTGGTATCGTCTCTATTCGCCGACGCGTGCCGTAGCGGGCCTGGAACTCCACAACATACCCCATCGTGTTATTTATGCGCGGCCGGAACAGGGAGCAGCGTACATTGGAGGAGGGGGGTGGATGAGCAGGAGGGTGAGCATCAGGCAAAGGTGGATGAGGAAGGATGAGGACGAGGACGAACAGCAGCAGCATCAGGAGCTGGAACGGAAGGAGCCCGCGGAGCATGAGGACCAGGGGAAGGCGGAGGAGGGGAGGAAAGGAGGGGGGCGACAACGGCGACAACGGCGATAGCCAACTGGATAGGCACACGACGGCGGCAGCGTGTGCCTACGATAAGGCACACGCTGCCGCGAGAGCTTCATTCTGAAACAGAGAAATTCCGACTTGAAATAGCCATAGGAGACGCCACACTTAATGAACTCCTGCGTGCTAGAAGCACTACGCTGCGGGGGCGTAACATCTGCCGGACAGAGTCAGGGGAGAAGGGAGGGTAGTGATCGTGATGATTATCGAGGGGGAGGAGGGGGAGGCTGCCGATCTGCGGCAGCGCTTCGGCGTCTTGGGAGCGCGCCTCTGAGGCCCCTGCGGTGGACGTGTCTGGGATCTCCTCGAGGGAGGAGGCACGGTGGCCAAGACCAAGATGTCGCGGGATTTTGCCGACGCCGGTCTTGGCCATGGTCCATGCCAGCCGTCGCCCAGTCGAGAAGATGTTCCGCGAAACGACGATGGCCAAGATGGCCGATGACCACGGCCGACACCGGCGTGTCCGCGATCGGTCATGACCGTCGTTTTCTTTGCTCCCATCTCCCCTGCCGGCCGGGCGGCCCCTGCCTCCCCTGGGAGATCGGCCGCCTGCCCCACGTCCCGCAGGACCCACGGCGTGTGCGAGTGCGACGAGGGCCACGCGGGCCCGAGCTGCTCCCACAGGCGGCTCCCTCCCCGCGCCCAGGGTGTGCTGCTTGCCTCCCGGGGATGGCCATTGGAGGCAGCATTCACACAGACATCACGCACCCAGCGTTTGAGCTGTCACGCAAAACCGCTTGGGCAGTCAGTCGTCTTGGTTTGGTGGGGCGGCTGTCTCTTTGCAGAAATACGTGGGTCATATCTATCTGTGCTGTCCGTCTGTGCCACGGAAATATATGAACGGTTGGGCGTGAACGTTCAATTGGGAGTCTTTCAGGGGCGTGCTTATCCCACCTTTTCGCCAGGAGCCCTCAGCGATTGTGCGGCTCCGCATTCGGATTTGTTTCCCGAGCAGTGCTTGCACTTCGGGTCTTCTGCTGGCCGTTTGAACATGAATCGGGTGGCTGCGGCGAGGATTCGCCACTTTCGGGCCCGTTGCCACCCGGCGCCGCCCGTTGCCGCTGGTGTGGGTGCGTCGAGGATTCGCCACGTTCCCGCCGGTTGCCGCTCTGGGGAGAGCGTCGAGGATCTGCCACGAACTGGCCCGTTGCCGCCCACTGCCGCTTGGGCGTGTGTGTGTGCGTCGAGGACTCGCCGCGTCTTGGCCCGATGGTGCCCGTTGCCACCCGTCGCCACCAAGTTCAACACCGCGAAAAGTTCACTCCCACAGCTCAGACCGCACACTTCACACGACGTAGCTTTCACCACATAGCTTTCACCGCACATCTTTCACCTCCACGGCGCAATCACGCCTCCTTGCCGCGATGATGCCGTTGCTGTCTCGTTGCCGCCTCGTTGCCGCCTCGTGCGCTGTGGCTCTCTCGAGGATTCGCAACGTTGTCGCCCGTTGTCGCCCCGTTGCCGCGACGTGGCCGCGACAAACAGGAGGGATGATGAGGATTTGGTTGGTTGGGTTTGGGACGCTGTCTTGTTTTCTTCGCTTGCACTCCGACCCATCGCTGACCTACTGCGCGTGGAGAGACCGACGTGGCCAGCGGATTTGCAAAGGGCCCCACAATGACAGGAGCTGAAGCTGGCACGTAGCATGTCTGTGCGGGCGCTGCGTGTGGTTGGGTCGACTTGCCACGGCGCCCCTTTTGAGGGGCAGCCTTTTTCCAATTTGTGAAAGCATCCGAGTGGAAACCGCCCTCCAACCGTCACATTCCTTCCTTTCTCCCCCGCCATCGATGCGTTCCCCTGGGAGCCGCCCCGCTGACAGCGCGAAGATAACCCGGTCCGCGAATTCCACTGCAGAGTGGGGATCTCGATCTCCCAGTGGGATTCGCAGAGCGGGAGCGACTCGAGTGTCTGCTATGTGGTGCACTCTGCGTGGTGCGATCGATGGTGTCTGAGCTACGTGGTGCAATTGTACGGACTTAGCTTATTCCCCGATGTTGGTTGCACTTCGGGCCGTGCTGGCATTTCGTAACGAATCGCTTGGTCATTCCGGGTTTTCGCCAGGTTGTTGCCCATACCGCCTCGGGGGCGCTCGTTGTCGCCCTGTGCGCTGGTCGTGGTAGGGCCGGGTCTAGCACGAACAAACAAACCATTGACACACATAGTTGCTTTAGATGTTAGAGGGTATGTTGATTCTAGTTGTTTTGCAAAGGCATGCTGTGATCGCAAACAAGTGTGTGTGTGTGTGTGGACCGGACTTTCCGCGAATGCAACAAACACGCACACAATCAAACCAGTTCCGTTTGCGTTGATGTGGCGCATGCGTCAATGTATTTTTCGGTCCTTGAACGTAGGTATTTTGGGATGTCCAAGTCCGGATCTATTTTTGGCGCCTTCCTCGAGTGGCGTTCTTTCTTCCCTCTTCTTCAATGAGCGGCGGAAGCCCAGTCTATTTTCGACGCCTTCCTACTTCATGTATCTGCCCACTTCGTCCGACCGGCGGAATGGCGCACAGCGGGAGCCTGCACAGGTTGGTCAAAAGCGCGCCTGGTATAGGTGGGGCAACCAGCTATCGGTGAGGGAAGCATTGGGTCCGTAATGCAGGCAGGCTGCAAAACTGCCAAAGCACGCGTTCTGTTGGATGGGTTCCCATGGCCACCTTCCGACGATGTTCGAAGTAAACGCATTCACGTTGTGTGTCCTGGAATCCCCCACAGCGGCCCAAAGTGAAGACCGTCACTTTTGGGCGTCCAAAGGGTACTCCAAGCGGCCCAAAGTGAACGCGTTCATCGGAACTTTCTGAAGAATGCTCCAAGTTTCCCAACGTGAACGTGTTCACTTTGGGCTTCGTCAGGGTCGTCCAAGCGTTTCTGAGTGAACGCGTTCACACGGACGGTCCCAGCCGGAGGCCCAAAGTATTAGTGTGAATATGGATTTCGTGGCAGTTTCCAAGCCTCCATGGCGACATCTCCGTTTGACCATACAGTTTTCGGCATTGAATCGCACGCGGGCGGCGATGGTGGCACACGTCATTTGCGCGCGCGTTGGCCAGTATTGCGTTCAGGTAAAGAGAACATTTTCTGGTGGAGCTCCGATGAGTGCGCGAAAAGGGGTGAGCCAGGCTGCCAAGTCAACGTGGCGACTCCTTCATGTCCACAATACTGATTTGGGTACACAGACGCACGCACGCGCCGCTTGCGGCACCCGCATTTGCTTATTATGCCATAGGATGGACACCCAAACGCCGCATGGTCAGGTGAATATGGGAGTGGTGCGCCTTGAGGGTTCGCATGGATGCACCAGCCAATATGGCAAGGTATCAAATCAAACATGTTACAGTCTGCACGTAATTAGGCGCACGCCACGCGGCGCGGGTGGCATGTGACACCAGCGCACGCGCCATTGCGCGTGCGCGTCCTAAACGCTGGTTAGTGACATTGGCAATCAGGAGCAGATGTGTAATGCGAAATCCGCTTAGCAAGAGCTAACCTCAAGAAGGCATTAAGAACCCCCCCCCCTTTCCGGTGGATTATAACGCCCCCGCACCCTGGAGCGTTATGGCTGCACCGGAGGACCTGGCTGCGGGGACTCGGGGCTTAGCTAGGGCTTCGCAGGGCCTAGCAGTGCTAGGCCTTAGCAGGCAGGGCTCAGCAAAGCTTAGCAGGGCTTAGCAGGGCTGAGCAGGGCTGAGCAGGCCTGACCAGGGCTCCGCAGGGCTGAGCAGGGCTGAGCAGGGCTGAGCAGGGCTTAGCAGGGCTTAGCAGGGCTTAGCAATGCTTAGCAGGGCTTAGCAAGGCTTGGTAGGGCTTAGCAGGGCTCAGCAGAGCCTAGCAGGTCTCAGCAGGACTTAGCCGGGCTTAGCAGGGCTTAGCAATGCTTAGCAGGGCTTAGCTAGGCTTGGTAAGGCTTAGCAGGGCTTAGCAAGGCTTAGTCGTCGTAATAGTAGTAGTAGTAGTAGTAGTAGTAGTAGTAGTAGTAGTAGTAGTAGTAGTAGTAGTAGTAGTAGTAGTAGTAGTAGTAGAGTAGTAGTAGTAGTAGTAGTAGTAGTAGTAGTAGTAGTAGTAGTAGTAGTTGTAGTTGTAGTTGTAGTTGTAGTAGTAGTAGTAGTAGTAGTAGTAGTAGTAGTAGTAGTAGTAGTAGTAGTAGTAGTAGTAGTAGTAGTAGTAGTAGTAGTAGTAGTAGTATAGTAGTAGTAGTAGTCGTAGTCGTAGTCGTAGTCGTAGTCGTAGTCGTAGTAGTCGTAGTCGTAGTCGTAGTCGTTGTCGTTGTCGTACTCGTAGTAGTAGTAGTAGTAGTAGTAGTAGTAGTAGTAGTAGTAGTAGTAGTAGTAGTAGTAGTAGTACTAGTAGTAGTAGTAGTAGTAGTAGTAGTAGTAGTAGTAGTAGTAGTAGTAGTAGTAGTAGTAGTAGTAGTAGTAGTAGTAGTAGTAGTAGTAGTAGCAGTAGTAGTAGTAGTAGTAGTAGTAGTAGTAGTAGTAGTAGTAGTAGTAGTAGTAGTAGTAGTAGTAGTAGTAGTAGTAGTAGTAGTAGTAGTAGTAGTAGTAGTAGTAGTAGTAGTAGTAGTAGTAGTAGTAGTAGTAGTAGTAGTAGTAGTAGTAGTAGTAGTAGTAGTAGTAGTAGTAGTAGTAGTAGTAGTAGTAGTAGTAGTAGTAGTAGTAGTAGTAGTAGTAGTGGTAGTAGTTCAAGCAGGGCGTGGCTTAGCAGTGCCTAGCAAGGCTTAGCAGACTTAGACTGCTCAGACTCACTCACACTCCGAATCCGTGCGTGCCCGCTCCTCGGGCTCTCTCGTATTTCTGGGTCCGCGGGTGCTAAGATAACGCGGGGGTGCGGGGCGGGGGGGATACCCTGGGGTGGGCCCCCCCCCTTGGAAGGCCGACGAAAGATTCTATCTGTAAGGAGGATGTAAAAGGAATCGCATGGGAAGAGGAGGAGGAGGAGGAGGAGGAGGAGGGGAGGAGGAGGAGGAGGAGGAGGAGGAGGAAAGGAGGAGGAGGGGAGGGGGAGGGGGAGGGGGAGGGAGGAGGAGGAGGAGAGGAGGAGGAGGAGAGGAGGAGGAGGAGGAGGGAGGGGAGGGGGGGGAGGGGGAGGGGGAGGAGGAGGAGGAGGAGGAGGAGGAGGAGGAGGAGGAGGAGGAGGAGCTAGGAAACAATAAGAAAACACAGGGGATGCAGAGTTGTGCCTGAGTTGTGGGTCAGGGACTTGAAAAGTGCCTGGGTTGTGTGTCAGACACTGGAACAGTGCCTGGGTTGTGGGTCAGAGACTGGAGCAGTGCCTGGGTCGTGACTAGATCCTTCTGCTCAGACTCACTCACATTCAGACTCATTGTGCTCAGACTCACTCACATTCAAAGTTCGTGATCCTTCTTGGTATTGTGGTACTATTCGTTAGCATGAGCATTATTATTATGATCACTCTTCCTTGGTTTATCATTCGTATTGTGATACTCGTGCTCAGACTCAGGTCTGAGCAGGGCTTATCAAGGCTTAGCAGGGCTTAGCAAGGCTAAACCTCGGACCGCGCTCCGGCCCACGCCCAGTAGGGCTTGGCAGGGCTCAGCAGGGCATAGCATGGCCTCGCAGAGCTTAGCAGGGCCCAGCGAGGCCAAGCAGGGCTGAGCAGGGCTTGGCAGGGCTTTGCACGGTTTAGCAGGGCTTAGCTAGCGTTAGCAAGGCTTAGCAGGACCCAGCAGGGTTTAGCAGGGCTTAGCAGGGTTTCGCAGGGCTTGGCCTCGGACCGCGCTTGGACAACGTCTTAGCAGGGCTTTGCAGGGCTTAACCGAACGTCGCAGGGCTTTGCCTCGGACCAAGCTCGGACCACGCCTAGCAGGCCATAGCAGGGCGTAGCAGCGCTGAGCGGTGCTGAGCAGGGCCTGCCTAGCAGGGCTGAACTAGCAGGGCTTAGCAGGGCCCTGGCAGGGCTTCGCCCGGGGCTTAGCAGGGTTTATCAGGGCTTAGCAGGACCTACCAGGGATAGAAGTCCACAGAGATCTGGGCCAGAACCTTGACATTCGTTGCGACACCCTCTTTTGGGCCACCGATGGATTTTGTTTTCTGTTTGCGGCGGGTGCTAAGTTTATCGTTCTGCGAAAACTGCCCGCCTGGAATATTGAAAAAACCGGGTGCTAAGAATAACCTAGGGGGGGACGGGCGCCCGCCCAACCCTGCGCAGGCACTTGCGCCCGCCCAACCCTGCGCGATCAATCGGCGATGCATCGCCGATTCCAAGTCAGACTTCCCCCCTTTAGTCAGTCCCACCGAATCGGCACTCCTCAAGTGAAGCTGGTTCGACACAGGATTTTTGTTGACTGGACCTGTCGTCTCAACCTCTGGGGGGGAGGTGTGATGAGGAAACATATCCGGTTTGGTGAAGGGAGGGAGGAACCGCAAGCGATTTCTGCCCCCCCCTTCCCCGATGTCACTCCTAAAAGTGTCGCTCTGAAGAAATGGGCGAACCTCGGGGATCTTCTCCGAAGTGGCTATCGGGATGCATCCCATCCCGAGGACGGGCGCCCCCTCGTCATATAGCCTCGAGTTGGGTTCCAGGCGATGTGGTCCGTTCAGAGTTCCACCAAGTCGGGGATTTGGGTCGTCAAGCCTCTTGTCAAGGGAGGGCTGGCGCGAGGAAAGACGATCTGGCGGCTTCCCCGAGGGGCCAGCATAGCAGGGGGGCGACCGTCTAATGAGTCGGCTGGATGTTTGAAGAGCAGGGGCTTCTTAGAAGGACACGGAGGCTTTGAGGTGGCTGTTGGTGGGAGCCTCGAAGGCCCACACGTTTCACACATATGAATTCTCGGAGGTCCGCGCAGAGTTCTTGAATATCCGCTGGCTGGTGGCGCCTCCGGAGCCGCCTCTGGCGCGCTCGCCGCGCCAAGGACGGGATGCAGCGCCGATCCAAGAAGTCTGCGCGGACATCCGAAGGTTTACATGTATGTTTATGCTTCGTCCTCTCGAGCCACGAGTGTTTCTGAAAAGCCGCTGTGTGAGGGGATTCGGTATGCGAGCAAGCCGATGGCAGCCAAGCTTCAGCTGCAGGACGCAAGTGGGGCTTGGACCCCACACGAGGCAAACATGTGCGAGAGGGGAGGGCGAGGTGACTTCTTCCCCGCCCCCCCTGCCCCCCCGCGCGAGGGGGTGATCCCGAAGGACTGCGTTGCGCACGCGGTGCAAGCTTTCGTGTCTCGTCCGCGTGGCCAATGGTGTCTGCCCTGGACCCGAGTGCACCGTCGCGGGTTTTTTCTCCTCTGGGCTTTGATTCGGGGGATGCTTGCCCCTCCTCGGGAATGCTCTCGGCGGGGCGCGGCTGTCCCAGGGGCCCTCGGTTTGCCCTTGTGGGGGGGCACCTTTCGGTCTCCCATGGGGGCGCAGCAAACTGGCACCAGAGCGTGACCGTGCGTTCTCGTTATCCCCCCCCCCCCCCCGTGGGATACCGAGCGCGCGATATTTCTTTCAATTCGAAATCAAAACGGTGTATGCCGTTTTTGTCTTTCCGCCTCCCCCCCCGCCCCCCCCCCCCTTTCAGGAATTCCAGCCTCAGGCAGGACCAGGGCGCATCGCGGGCGGCATTGTCGCCACGCCCCGCCCCTCCCTCTCCACCCGCCCCTCGGCGAGCACCGTCATTAGGCCTCGCCGGTGAGGCCCGCCAACACGCCTCACACCCCTCACAGCTTCCATCGATGGGGCTGCTGGGGGTCCTGCCTCCACTAGTCAATTTTTAATTCTGCCATCAATTGGCGCTGGAGTGGGCCGAGGACCGACCTACGGTCCCTCGGCCAACGAACATGGCCGTGGGGTGGGCGAGCCGTACCTCCACCTCAAGGCACTGGTGCCACCGCTTGCAACTAGAGGCGCTACGTGCCACCCACCAGGTCTATCCTATCCTCACCTCCCTGCCTTTTAAGAATCCCCCTCTCGCCTTAGAAAACGTCGCCCCCGTCGCGCCACCTTGTGCGCGCCGCCAGAGGATTGAAGGAGAGACTGAACATCGATAAGGAAAGATTGGAGGATGGATGGGGACGTTGAAGCCCTCCCCGGCGGGGCGCGCAGTATCACCGACCACGGCGTCGCGGCCGAGGGCAACTACAACTTCCAGGACTCCTGAAGCCAGAGCACCCATGGAATCGAGTTTCCAGGAAGACATAGTCCTACTTCAGGAATGATGCTGTCAGGTCAAAGCTGTTAATGATAAAGTCTTCCGGCAATCTATCACAATCTTCAGTTCCATGGAAACTCTGATACCTGCGCGTTCTGGCTTTCAGGGATCGGCGCCCACGTTTTTTTCAGTTGCACGCCCTCTCCTGCAGAAGTGCCATCGTCATACTCGCATCATTACCTATACGACCACCCTTCGGTTGATAAGGAGGTGTGTGGGGGGGGGAACAAACGTCTGACTCAGTCGATCTCAATATCGATCTCACTATCGATATCACGATCGAACTCACTACCGATCTCACTATCGGTCCTACTATCGATCTCATGATCGATCTCACGACCGGTATCACTATCGATCTCACTCTCAACGGGACACCACGGGACACCTGTCGATCTCACTATCGATCCCACTATCGACCTCACGATCGATATTATCGATCTCACTCTCAACGGGACACCACGGGACACCATTGGACACCAAGCGACAATTGTCGATCTTATTATCGATCTCACTCAACGGGACACCACGGGACACCTGTCGATCTCATTATCGATCTCACTGAACGGGCCACCACGGGACAGCGCGGGACACCGCGAGCCACCGCCAGACGGACCGGACGGGCGGGCGGGGGATAATCATTTGTCTTGATTTCGCTGTAGCATCGGCGGGACACCACGGGACACAGAGGGACACCCCGAGCCACCGCCAGACGGGCGGGCGGGGGATAATCATTTGTCTTGACTTCGCCCTAGCAACGGCGGGACACCACGGGACACCACGGGACACCGCGGGACACCGCTGGCCACCGCCGGACGGGCGTGCGGGGTAGAATCATTTGTCTCGACTTCGCCCCAGCAACGGCGAGTTCATTCCTCTCGCGCGCCCACGCAGCTTCGCCTCGCCCGCACGCACCACACGAACGAAACGAAACGATTTCCCGGTTGGGGGTCTCCGTTCCACTGCGATCTCACCCCCCAACCTCCGATCCTCGGCGTTCTCGTTTCGGGGGGCCTCTGCACACAAGGTAGAACAAGTGGACGACGACGGCGACGACGAGCAGGCCGCCGAGGGCACGATGGATCTGGACGATGAGGAAGGAGGGCGGAGAAGGAAACCTAACGAGGAAGGATGAGGAATGATTGGGGCGGTTACAACGAGACAAGCAGGATGATGAACGGATGAGGGACACCAGCATACCTGACACAAGAAGCAGCGGGACGAATCCCATTGATGTTATGTTTACGTTGTTTTTTTGCAGTCTTTCTTTCTTTTTTTTTTCTCTCTCTCTCTCTCTTTCTCTCTCGCTCCCTATCTCTCTCTCGCTATGTATGTATAGATATCACTCTCTATCACCATCTCTCTTTTTCTCTTTGTATTTCTAGGGCCACTCTTAGAGGACATCCTAGGCCGTTTTGGTAGTTTCTGCGGCGACTTCTCCTAACTCGTCGATTGTTATTGGATTCGTTGCAAACGCGGGACACCGTGCACCCCTTTGCATGCAGAAGGGGGCTACAGATAAGGGCTTTCGCTCCATCCCGCCACGGTGCCTGGGTCGTGGGCAGGAGGCCTCTTAGAAGCCTCGCGGGAGGCCCGTCGGGGGCATCTCGCCGGCAAATTGGAGGTTTCTTGCGGGTCGCTGGTCAGCCTATTCGGGCCTCTTATTGCTTCGTGGTTTCTTGGTGGTGTCGGGAGCCATCTTGGAGGAAAGACCTCGACATGTCCGTTCGTTGTTTCCTTCCTGGTGTCGTCTAGAGGGTCTTGTGGCCCCTGGGGGCATCGGAGGCCGTCGTGTGCCGATCTTTGGTGAATGTTTGGCCGTCTTTGGACCCTCTCCAGAACCAAACAACGGGCATGTTTAAATCGCAAAGCAGTGTGTATCGTTTCCCTGAGTGTGTATACCTTCTTGGGCCGATCTCCAGGGCATCCAAGACGGTTGAATGTATATACATACGTATTTTCTTGTACCGATCTCCAGGACGGGCCTTGGGACCATATTTGATCATGATGGACGTGTGGTTTCAAACCGCGCCACCGAGATTTCTGGAAAAGCTTCGTGTGGGGGGGGAGCGGCCGCCCAAAGGCGCCCGTGACTTGGGAATCTGGGATCGATGAAGAGAGTGTGCAGTTTCCAGCTCAAAGGACTCGAAGGGAATGGTGGGCATTCCGTTTAGACCCTACACAGTGCACGTGCATAAACATATGTGTATGCAAGTGCGTCCATTCCAAATGTGTCTACCATTATACATGTATGTGTGTGACATTATGTAGTAGATGCGTATAACATCGTTTATCCATTTTTCTACCACGTGCGTGTGTGTGTGTCCACCATTACCACGATACGTGTCTACGACCCAAGCCAAGAGGAGCAAACAGGCAAGCGGATACTCAACTTCTTACAATATATTGCGCTTCTCTATGCAATCGTTGGGGAAGTTTCGGCTTATGGTTCCAGTCAAAGCTCGCGCAGACTCAGGGAGTTGGTCACAATGACCTCTTGGAGTGTAAGGCTGAGTGCATTAGGAACATTTCCTTCGCCGGCGGTTTACTTGGGATTGTCGGTGGCTGGGGACGTTCGTGCTGTTCCCTCTCTTGGGCAGATGCAGGAAATCATGGAAAAGATGCTGATGCACATGACTACGAGGACGGACTCGGCGAAATCAGGGTTCACGATCCTATTGGGCGAGCAGATCCGGGACATCAGGGATCATATCAATGAGAACGCGGAGAATATCCGTCGTGAGGGATCACTTGCTGGTGCTGCGTATGAGGGCTTTGTCCCAGTGAAGCTCGAGATTTCGAAGTTCAGGGAGGAAAGGGCAGCGGGGACGGAGCGACCAGGGTGATCCACCAATCGATGAGTAACCCGTCGTGATCGCCAGGTGCCGCCACACTGGCAGGTGGAAAAGTGCAATCCAAGCGGATCGACCGCGACAGTAGTCCAATGCTGGAGGAGCAGATCGAGCAGCTGAGCCACGTTGTGGTCTTCAAAGGCCGAAAGACACCAAAGACATCGATCAAATCATCCATACAATCTCAGCTATGGTAGTACAGGGAGGATGTGGATGCGGACCTGTGCAAAAAGGAACATTGAGTGAGTTTGGCTTTGTGCGGTTCAATGCCAAGCCGATGTTGGACGACTACATCAAGAATATGAGGCACGAGGAGAGGGCGAAATACATGGGTAACGTTGTCCGTGTCGGCCTCAACCATGGACCTGTACATCGAGCCCGCGCGCGCGTTTTTTGTTTGTCCGATCTGGAAGAGCGTGTTGAAGGAAGAAGGCATCATGGTTTCTGGCATCGAACTTGGCGTCGGCATGGGCATGCCGGTCGTTAGTGGCATCCGGATGCGCGAGCCGAGAGACGAAGCAGTCCAGGTTGGAGTAGCGACCAACGTGGGCAACGTTGACAAAATGGTTTGGCAGTTCAATGACCTGCCGCTGTCTGTGGACAGATCGCTGCGGGAGTGACCCTTGTTTGACTCGGGCGTTTTTCTTTCTGCTCTCCCCCTCTCGCCTCCCTCTCCGCATTCCCCCACTCCTTGCTCCGTTTCCGGGTGATTTCCCGGTTGCTTTTGGAACTCCCATATATTTTTTTAGCGGGCAGAAGTGCCAGCAATGCAGGCGCAGATTTGTCGGATTGCTCACGCAGCGGGCCGATTTCGTAGGACTGCAAGAGGCCCATTGCACGGAAGGTCGGATTTGGCTTTCTCTGGGCGCCTGGGCACTCGAGGGTTTTAGTCTCATGTGAGTTGGTCCCGCGCCAGTATTGCACTATTTGTTCGAGCGCAGCTTTCTCTCCCACTTCGACTCGCATCGGTGGCCGTCCACTGGCGCAGGGAGGTTTGCAGCGCTACGTCCCCGCGGCCAAGAGGAGGCGTCGACTCCTGGGTGGTGCATCCTGATGCGCGCTGCCTTTCTGCCAGAGCCATGAGTTCAAAAGGGTCGCGGCGACTTCTCGGTCCTTGGCAGTGCGATGTCCGTTGTTTCTGGCTGTTTATATTTTACGGAGCACGAGCGCGATCGTTGGCAGACGGAGTCTGGACAATGGTTTGGGCGCGCGAGTGGCGCGGAAACCGTGGCGCGTCAATGTCGCACGCGCGGCCGTCGCGGCCTGGTGGGGCGCGCGCAGAGGAGTTTCATGTGCGAGATTGGCAGTGCCCAGTCGCGCAGTTACTGTGCGTGTTATAATCATCATATGTGCGAGGTGCTGGATTTGCGCCTTAACCGCGCAGCGCAGCCCCCGCCCCCCCCCTCCGCCCACAGGCCATTGCCCTGCGCCCTGTGCCCTGGGGGCACCCCGGCGCTCAAGCGACGGCGCCGAGGAGACGCCCATCCCGGCAGCCATCGTGGATCATTTTGATTTTGAGCGCATTGCGCAGCAAGAGTGCCAGGGGGCCTCCTGCCAGAGAGCATCGCATCGACCTCGGCGCCCCTGCCGCGGACAGACTGCGCGGCGAAAATCGCCGTGCGCAGTGCGCGCAAACAGATAGGGCGTTCGCGACGGGCGCGGCCAGTCGCATCGAGTGCCGAAGACAAACTGCGCGCGCCGATGGGCCTGCTCAGATCTTGCGAAAAAGGAGAGCCGGGTCGGGGTCGTCACTTTTGCAGCTCGCATTCTCATGTATCCTCTCTCGCAGACCCACCCACCCCGGGCCAGCGCTCGCCCCCGAGGCCGCCGCGTTCAATTGGCGCCGGGCGAGGTCTGGGAGGGGTGCGGTGCTCTCGCGCGTAGCGGAGGCATTGGTCGGAATTTGCCCCAACGTTCCGTGAAGAACATAGGCTTCCATGGCTCTTGCCAGGGCGCTTCGTCCTCGCTGCGCAGCCCAGCCCGATCGCGCGCGAGGTTGGAGCGCGAGCAGGAGTGCATCTGTCTCGCGAAAGGGGCTTGCCAACATATCTCCCGCAATTGTAAGTCCGAGTTGCGCGCGCGGACAGCCAT